TCTCTTGAATGAATCCAAGCACTTGATAGCTGGTCAAGGTTGTTTATACTAGAAATCCAATTAAACATATTCCTAAAATTCTCAATAATTTCTGGTCATACTACATATATATATATATATATATATATATATATATATATATATATATATATATATATATATATATATATATGTAGTATGACCAGAAATTATTGAGAATTTTTGGAATATATATATATATATATATATATATATATATATATATATATATATATATATATATATATATATATATATATTGCATAGATAAATAAACACAGAATGCCTTTTTCTCCAACATGTTTCTTTCCGCTACAATCTCCCTGACTGAGTTTGGTTTTACGACGCTTTTAGCAATATTCCAGCAACATCACGGCGGGGGACACCAGAAATGGGCTTCACACATTGTACCCATGTGGGGATTCGAACCCGGGTCTTCGGCGTGACGAGCCAACGCTTTAACCATTAGGCTACCCCACCGCCCCACAATCTCCCTGAAGAGTAAAGAACGAAACATGTTGGAGCAAAAGGCATTCTGTTTTTATTTATCTATGCAATATTTATGACTGAACACCTGTACTATTTTGGACATTTTGTGCGTATATATATATATATATATATATATATAATCTGTCATCTGACACATTGACTGTAGTCTTCCATCTTATCATTGCTAATCTGTCATCTGTTGTAGCTAATCTGAAATATTATATGTTGTACTTAGTCTATGAATCAGCTGTTCCTTAAACGTTTGAATATCTTGTCTGGACAAACCACATGTATGATAACGATGGCCCATAGTCACCCCTTTCACACAATTTCATCAGCCGACAGTAGTCGACAAGTATGGGTGATTGGGCATAACGCCTGCCCTGCAATTCCAAATCGTTTCTTTGTCTTTGTATATGGTTGTGATTATTGCCATTGATAGATTTAAGCGAAGCCTGGTATTATCAGTGTTTGATAGTGATTCATAACATATAAGTGGCCTTCACACGGCAAGTGAAGTCTGACAAAACATATTGTTAAAATTTTAAAAGGCTTCAAACTCTTGTTTTCACACGCCAAACACATGTTGTCAAACGTTTGTGTCATTTGAGCGATGCCATTTTGTAGGTCGAGTTGACCTGACGACCAAAACATCACGTGACAGTTTCGTTGACTGCGATTGAACAACACGAGTTTGACAACACTTCATACGTCAAACTCATGATCAAGATTGACAACACCGAAAGCTTGATGGAAAAAGTTGGTGAGAATAGGGACCGATCCGGTTTCTCGACAACATTTTGACAACTCTGAAATTGGTGCTGATGGCGAGTTGGTGGAATGTTCACACTCTCAAACTCGAGTTTGCCGTGTGAAGGCTGCTGTACGGATTTGTACACCGGTCTCTGTTTTAGTGGAGATTTCTCTTGATTAGTAAAATGTTTTGGTTGTTTTTGTGTTTGAAATAAGACATCAATATATAGATCCTAGTGCTTACCTTTCTGCGCATAAAAAGAGACAGGTCTCCAGCAGTGGACATTCTGAAACCCCGGTTACTGCCTACAAATGAAACATCAGATTGGTATCAATGCTTGCACACAGCCCAGAAAACGTTGTCGAACATGAGCTATCCACATTATGTATTCAGTGATCTCACCGCCAAACTTGAGCACTGCTTCCTGAGATTTTTCTACGCCGTCCAGAAGCGCTTTACTCTTAGGGCGTTGTTTGAGTCCGCGATGAAAGTAGATCAGTGACAGCTCAAAGTTACCGCTCTGGAACAGCACTTCCGCTTTGGTGTGCAGGGCCTACGAGGTGGGACGACATCTTTGTTAGTCGTTTTCTCAGGAAAGACGTGCGTGGCACTGTCGTATAATGCGCTACAATTTGCTGTGCAGAGCTTTGTGCTCAGGATTGCCCTACACCTTTGATAGTGAGCTCCATATTTTTCCTGCTAATGCTTTTAGTTAGCAAAATACCAAAGTGACAAATGTCTATGACCTGCGTCACGTCCGGCTTTCCGTGGACTCTACGGCAACCTTAAGAAACGGTCTTTGACGTGATAAACCAACACTGTGCCACCCAACATACAGTTACAGTTGGAGCTGATATTATTATTGTGTTATATCTGGATGTGAAATGGGATTTAACATTGCGTTCAAGATTACAACACGTATATAGCGACGTGCATGCACGTGTATCTGTTTCAGTAATGAGATATCATGCAGCAGGTAAACATAGATACCCCACTCGGACATTGTATACAGATTCCGAGTCGACACGCCCTGGTTCTATCCTTTTAATGCCGAGCGGAAGGACGGGTCCCTAAGTTCCATCGTTTAACGTATTTTGGTTGGATGCAGCCGGGGATCCAACCCCATACTGTAAACACCCCCGGCAAACACTCTACTCACTAAACATGGGAGGTGGTCGTAAAGATAGAAACAACGTAAGGTACAACAATTAGTACACATAAGCATGTGGCCATAAATCCATAATGTATTACCGGAGACTGGTCACCTTTCATATTCGCCATGTGTAACATACATGATTTTATAGATCATAGGAAATGGGTTCATTCTAAAGATGGACAGCTTTTTAAGCTACGCGTCCCTTACCTCCGTGTTCATGGCGTCACACTCCAGCACCGTCTCCGCATCTCGAAGTGCTGCGTATCTCTTTCCCATTTTCAAATAACACCAACTCCTCGCGATCAGGACCGTAGAATCACGAGATTTTATTTCTAGGGCCTGCATTGAGAAACTGCGCATTATCAAGATGGAATACACGTAAAGCAAAGGTAACCACATTCATGTCGAAGTATCGGTATGGTTCGGTTATTCGGAAATGTGGTAAATACCATCATGGATATTGTGCCTTGTAATCCCGTCGACACAACCCTCTGTACGTTTGTTCCTTTACTAATTTTTTTCAGCATATTTATACATAATCGTGTTTCTTAATTATAATAATCCCTCAAACAGAAATATTGTCTCAAAAATTCTGTCATTGTATCTCAAATCCGTCGATCGATGTTCATCAAACAAATCGCCAAAGACTGACTACTCATAGAAAGGGTCGAATCCCTCCTCACCTTGTTGTAACTAATCATGGCGTTGTTGTAGTCCTGCTGCCCCATGAACTCCTGTCCATCCTTCAGGTAGATGTCAAACAGACACCTGGAGGCGGATCCAGCATCCTTCACTCCTCTGTCGTCTGCCAGACGAGGAGTCGCCATTTTCATATCCACCATTTTGATTTCACTTTCTGTTTTTTCTTCAAGAGTTCATGTTAATTTAGTGTAGAATATTTGTCACAGTCATATATCCAGGTTGTTCGTGATATTTACGTCAGAATGTACAATTTTCGTGAAAGTTAGTCGTGATCTCCTAGCAAGACTAAACATTATTGTGTGTCTTATATTGCACTCCGTACACTCCGGATGCTCAAGGTGCTTACACTATTTGGTGTTCAATCTCAGCTCCAATCAAGATGCCTTGTCAGGCGCTGGAAATTTACCAATAGCATTAACTTCCAATCTTGTATAGTACCAAATTTTGGTGTTGGGTGGACAGAGGCATATTTCGTGTAAGGTCACCACAAGTGCCACATGATCTTCAGTACCTCCCGTCCAACTATTCCACACAACGTAGCTGCTCCGCTAAACCAGGTTTGTGACCGGTGCATTGAATAACGAACCACCACATTATTTATTCCACGGATACATCCTCAGGCTGCTTCACCCATTCATGTGGACACATACAACGATATGACCCTATAGGGTAGAATGATCACCACTGATATATAAGAGTATATAACACCTTAACGGTATATGAGGCAATATCCACATCTCCATGGACCCAGGTTCTGGAACTTTGAGGCAAAATGTACTGGGTATCCTTGAGATGAAAGTCAAGGATGGACGAAGGATGTATTGCTGCATCAACTATTTAGCATCCATTGACAGGTGTCAGTTGGTGTCATTGATGGCGGTCAGTTCAGCCATGTTATTCGTAATTCCTTCCTTCACGTCTTGTGTTCAAGCTGTTGGTGCAGGAAGTCAGCGTTTGTTTCTTGACAACATGGACCTACCCAGAATCCTACAAATCCAAGGTTCTTTGGGGATTAAAGGGGGATGACGTGTGGGTATAATAGCATGATGAATGGCTAAGCTGTGATTTGCCAACTTGTGCGTGGTAGGATTTCACACCTCACTGCTAACACTTCTGTCTCGACTCTAACATGCCGGTCAGCAGTAGGGCTGGAAATGGCGTCGTGAACCAGCCATGTTTTACAGTTCACGGACCCAGTATGTGACGTTTGCCGTCATATATATATATATACGTAATGGTCGCCACAACGGTGAGGTCCAGTTAGCTCATGAACCAGTGTAAAGGGTCATGTGGTGTCCCGGTAGTCACCTGATCATCCGATCATGTGTTGTCGTCAAAGGACTAAATCCAAGATGAGCGGAATTACAATAATTTATTGTGTGTATTACGAAATTAACGCTATATTATATATATATCATATTTCTTTGAGATCTTGTGTGTCAGTAATGGAATAAATGAGGGAGTTCAGGACATATTAAAGTTAATTTAATTTGACATGGTCATCTGCTATTATGACGTTCTTAATTTGAACAGTCAAGATAACAGTTAACGTAAATATATTATTTACTGATATCACAAACTCGATTTATTGTCATCTAATATTCACCAATACCGTAACTAACTACGAGGATCAACAAAAATCAGTTCGTAATATCCGTAATTCATTACTAAAATATTTTAAGAAGACTCCTTACACAATACATATTGTCGCCATACACCATGTACATTGTGTTTCCATAAACCAGGTATGTTGTGTTTCCATAAACCAGGTATGTTGTGTTTCCATAAACCAGGTATGTTGTGTTTCCTATCGGTCACCACTATGGATATTATGGAGAATTGAGACATTCAGAAAATCTGCGCAAATAATAACACGGTGGATAACAGTAGATCATTTAATGAGCGTCAATGAATGTAAATACACAAAAGCATATCCGGCGTTGCATTGAGCCACTTTCGTCAGCAAGAGCCGTTGATTGCATAAGATGACAGGCCCGAGATCGACCCGGACACCATAAGTCCTGTCTGGGCCCGAGATCGACCCGGATACCACAGGTCGTCCTGTCTGGGCCCGAGATCGACCCGGATACCACAAGTCGTCCTGTCTGGGCCCGAGATCGACCCGGATACCACAAGTCGTCCTGTCTGGGCCCGAGATCGACCCGTATACCACAAGTCGTCCTGTCTGGGCCCGAGATCGACCCGGATACCACAAGTCGTCCTGTCTGGGCCCGAGATCGACCCGGATACCACAAGTCGTTCTGTCTGGGCCCGAGATCGACCCGGATACCACAAGTCGTCCTGTCTAGGCCCCAGATCAACCTGGATACCACAAGTCGTCCTGTCTGGGCCCGAGATCGACCTGGATGCCACAAGTCGTCCTGTCTAGGCCCGAGATCGACCCGGATACCACAAGTCGTCCTGTCTAGGCCCGAGATCGACGCTCTCCCTGGAAAGAGCTATCATCAGTGTCGTCCCTGACAGTGGAACTGTCACTCACTGTTTCAGAGTCAGTCTCTGTCCCATCACTGTCCTCCTCCCTGACAACTGTGTCCTTATCATCACCAGTGTCAGTATCAACGTCGGCCCTTGTACCCACCTCCCCATCTGTTGCCTTTACGTCGGGGAGATCGTCTGAAGTGTCCCCAACGTCTCCTTTCACCATTAATAGTCCCTGCTGATCCTTGTATGGGTCTTCAAGAAGTGGATTGTTTGTTTCGTGCCTGACATCATCCACCGATGTAGCGTAAATCATTTTCGTCTGCTCCCTTTCCTCTGCGCCTGTGTGTTCAGTCCTTATCGTCCGCTCTCTTCCTTCTTCTGTGTCGTCTGCAAGAGTATGGTTCATGTTTCTTGTCTGTTGTATGTCGTCTCTGCTGTCGTCAAGCAGTGTATTGTTAACTTTTTCCCGCTTCCCTCTTGTTTCTTGCATGCTGGCTGTTCCTGGTTCACGACTCTGGTTACTTTGACCCATGTCTGGTGACGACTGCCTGTTATGACCTCGTCTCTTGGCCAGTTCTGACATGCGGGTGTTCACCTCACCTAGCGCTCGTGTTATCATCTGTTCAGAGTCACGGTCACCTTAAATACATAATTGCCTGATGTTTTCACAAAAGAATAATATAGAGGATTGTGTGTGAAAGCATTATGGTCTCTGCTACCCACTGATCGTTTCACATAGTTTCAATTTAGTCAAAGATGTCATCAGCTGTTTCTTCCACAGGAAGTGACAAATCCATTTGAGTGTGATACACTGGCTGTCCAGCTTTTGCAACATGCTTGCGTTTGGTTCCTCTCTGTTTATTGATAGATGTATAAAACACAGACAAACACTAGCAGTGAATACACATAATATGTTGGTATTTGATAGGTACCAAATATAAAAAAGAAGCGTGGTTTACAATGTGCACCCAGGATCACAAATTCGTGAAGCCGACGGGTTACTATGCCTCACCTTCTATCTTGGCCAGGTCCAGACCCCGTTCAAAGAGAACATAAGCATCACTGTATTCCCTTAGTTTAACTGAAACAGACGTGACAGAAGCTATGATCGTAGACTGGAATTTCAGGTTCACAGTGATAATGTTTCTAGATTTCCCAGAACCAGTATCTTGTTTGTCAATTTCGCCAAAATGGAAACATCTAAATCCTGCATCATGTCGTGTTTTTCCTCGCCTGCCTGAGAATTATACAATTTGCTTCACATTTTCTTACTGGCCTTGTTCTTCAGTTACGACTAATACTTCCGGTAGGGCAGGACATGCTCACTTGTTTCGCATTTATGTTTTTTGTATAATGCTATAAATTCGCCGCTTCCAGTTTTCTTATGTCAGAGAAGCTAGTCTGCCTACGACAAGACTTTGGCCGGGTACCTTGAGCAACTCCGATGAGGACGCAGGCCTGAAGCTGGTACAGACGATGCTCTGCTTCTTCCGCTGCGTGCAGAGACTTCCTCCCACAATCCCTTGCGTAACCGTATTGGCTGAGACTCAGGAAACAGTCCCCTATCTCATGGAACAGCCACGCCCTCTCGATCGGCCTCTCCACCAACTTCGTCTTCCTTGCAAATCTACGATCACAAAATATTGCAGGGAAGTGAGTTGAGTTTAATACATGGTTAACAATGAATGCTTTATAACGTGGTGACAACAGGCAAAGTGACAAAGTATAATGAGCACCGCTCCATACTGTACGTATAGGTAAGATCAGCAATTTGTCACCAAAACTAAAATAATCCCAGGTTGTATGGAGCCCGAGAAGGGATACAGTGAAAAAGCAAAATGTGCCATTGTCATACTTTAGTTATTAGTGATGCTTTTTGCATTTGTGATGTTTCAATGGACTGAGGTGAGATAAAGGTGTAAATAAGTACTTTTAGTTGGTTACCGTAGATGGACATGTGCATTTCTACTGTAATATACATTAAGTGACTGGCACAAACAGACAGTTCATTATACCCCTCAGATCGTTAGAAGCGTAGTTTATTTTGCTTTGTTTGTGGAGGTGTTTGCCTGTTCCGGTGATGTACTATAACAGATACAAGAATCATCCAGCTAATGTGTTACTCACGCTCCTAATGCTTTATGGAATTGTTTCCTATACACGAACACTCGGCCGAGGTTTCCAAGAGCCCGTGATATTGGTTCGTCAATATTGCTGGGAAAAGACATTTTATAGCATAGTTACATCGTACTGCTATAAGGAATAATAATATTATTTGTTTGTTTATACAAACAGCAATATGTTATTACAAATGTTTATATAATTGTATTTACCATTACATTGAGATTCATGTTAAATCATTTCTGTGTAGATACACCCTAGATATTGATGCCGCTCACCATTCTTCTCCGATGAACAGATCTTTCTCGTGGTGTTCCTGTGCTTCTTCATATTCACCTAGTTCCAGATGCGTGTTACCAAGGAAACTATGTACCCTGGCCACAACGTCACGCTTGTCAGCGATCTCGTCCTCGGTGTAGCTGTATACTGTCTGTAGACAAACATGGGCCCTCCGTTTGCATTCTTCATAGTCTTCACGTTCAAAAGCTGAAATAACCAGTTTTGGTTGATATGTTTGCATCCATTGGCGATATCGCAGAGTTCCCAAATAAACCTGTCATAATTCTAGCGAAGTTAATAATCCTTAATGACAAACTGAACTTATATAACATGTGCGCTCTCCACCTATGGCATGTAAACCAGATCCAGTGTTAGAAACTGGTAATCATGATATTGATATACAGTGTTTGTATTGGCAAAATTCAAGTATGGAGAAGTAGTATGCTCAAGGTAGTTATTGCTGGTAAGTTGTTACTAAACTCACTGAACGATATGGCCAAAATGTGACGAAATATAACGCTCCCAATCCCTCTAGTGAGAAGTCAAATGGGCGCAATGCTTGTGCCAGTTCCCGTAATTTGGCAACAGACGAGTCACCAGCTGTATCTCACAGCATTTCCCGAAGGCTTTCCAGGCTGAGTTCTGGACTCTGGCCGATAGAAAGAGATGGTCGTGACCATGACGACTATGGCGGCATGACGTCATTCAGAGACAGAACGTTGACGAGACAACATCAGCTTCATTGTTTACGTTGAAGACGTCAATTTCAACGTCGGAAATGGCAACATGCTTTCAGATAAGTCTATGTCAGAACCGATTCCTTTTGACGTTGTCCGACGCCTCATACACACTACCTATACGTCGACATTCAGTTAGTGACACCAATGGTCATGGTATCCTAAAATTAACGAGGAATACAAAAAACCCGAAATATGATCATGTGTCAATAGCAGGTACACCAATGAATCTCAGAAATATTTGACTGTTATTAGTGCGCCTTACCATCCACAATGTCCGCTAGCTCCTTCATCAAGTAGTCCAGTACAGGACCTTCCTCTTCCTCCTCTTCAATATCTGCCATTTGCTCCTTCTGACCCTGTGTGTTCTTCTTCTGTTCGCTTTTTGCACTGCCCTCCCCTCTTCTCCCGCCCAGTTCACTTCCTGGTCTGTAGGAGGCAAACTCAAAATGCAATTTTCTCACTTTTTTCTTTTCCTTTCTGTAAGGCCTGTATCCCACAATACCTTCCGCTTCCTCTTCAAAGTCAACACGTGAGTTCTCTTCATTCAAAACCCTAATGAGGTCGCTGACCTCTCTGTCCCAGATGGAACTCTTCTGTCTCGGAAGGGGAGACTCTGTGAGTGTCCGTTGTGCACTACTGCCCTGGCGACTGTGTTTGCGTGATAGTGGAGGGGATGGAGGGGGGTCTGGGGGCAGGCGTCTGAGACTCCAGTAGGTCACCCTCTCCAGAAGGAACTGAAGGCCGTTCTCAGCTATAGAGTTGATTTCGACATCGAGTCGAGATTCTCCTTCATCTGGAAACAGTCAAAAGAGTTCTATAGATGTTATTGCTATTGAATATAATTAGAATGTAAATACGAAACAGATTCACCCATTAACATCGCTCCAATACATTATTCTCTTGAACCCTTAAACTTAAATGTCATGGAGAAAGTACAAAACCAGGAACACACCGATGAGGAAATCGGAACCAGTCCATGTGGTGTCATCTTTTTATACCTGTAACTTTGTTTAAGACTATATAACTATAGCGGTCCAATAAGGTCAATTTACACTCATGACTTATATGGACTGTCAAGTTTTTTATACGTACGGGTCCCCGATATATTTTCAGTGGTATTAAGGTTTCGCTCCTTTGTTCGCTGTATACTTTACAGAGGTTCAACTACACGGGGACCAGCTGTACATTATCAAGTCTGGACCAGACAATCCAGTGATCCAAAATGAGCTTCGATCTATGCAATTTCGACACAACACAACGACATACCAACGAAGTCAGCGAGCCGTTAGACTGCTCTTACGACAAGCATGGGTTGCTGAAGACCAATTATGACCCGATCCTGGATAAAGGCTTCAAGTTAACTTGGACCAACAAATAACTTCTCTATGGACACTTACAATACGTGTGCGACTGTTGTATCAGTGTAAATACATCTATGTAACTACCATAATACTCGTATCTAGTAGTAACGTTCCCCTCATGCTGACCCGAGAGACGTAATGAGGTGTACCTGTTTGACGGGCAAAGTCTCTCAGATAGACTCTATCACCATACAGCTCGCCAAGTATTTCTCGCATGGTCCTCTCGTCCGGCTCAGAGTACACCGTCCCGCCTGAAGCTCGACTCTGATTGGTTGACTTGTTCATATTGTTTTGATTGGCTCTGTTTCTAATTCGTGATAATTTGATTGGCTGTTTTCTACCCAGTCTGAATAAAGGGTTAGCGTCTTTCTTCTTTGCTCTCCCTGCACTGCTGTGACGTGATAACGGGTCTCTAGTGGGCGGGTCCCTCTGTGTTCTAGCTCCGCCCATCTTCCGCATCTGTGCTTATGCAAAAACCTTAATATTAGAAAAACACTTTGAATATGTAATGAATGTAAGTAAATGAGGATTAGTGTATATGTGTATGATAATGTGTTAAATAATAATTTTATTGTTATAGAATAAACTTTAATATATATCGTGCATGTCAGTGATTAACCTTTCTCAGTTATCATACCAGAAAGATTTCACAGGTGGTGACACCAGATGTTCACAAAAAAGGTGTTCCCATACCTTCTTGTGGACGTACAGGGTCAGGTCTCCTGCCTCGGTTAGTTTCATCGTCTTGCCTGAAAGGTTAGCGTGCAGGATGAAACGTTTGGTTCAGCCATGACTTGGGGTGTAGGTTAACCCGCATGCGCAAAGTGCAAAAAAGAGTTCTGGTCAATGTAGCACGTAAAACTTAGGTAGGTAAAAATGGGACTCAGAGTTTAATCTTTAACATCAGCCATCACAGCATTGGGCCAACCTTCAAGCCGAAATGACGAATCACTGGTTCTACCGTGCTCGTGGTTCTGCTAAGGATTACTGATGGGAAAACGTTCTTAAAGCAAAAAACTAGTTGCCTATATTCTTTTGGTCTGACAAAAATTACATTCCTCTGATTTTGCGTGGACCGCCTGAGATAACTGAACTGCTGTTGAAATCTTTGTTACACTACACATTCCACCACTCCTCTGCTGGTGAATTCATATACCTTTAGTAGCCACAGAGATGTGCTGTCGGCATCGGGCGATGCCCTCTTGGAATTGGACGCTGTCTGGACTGACCTTGTGACCACGATGGTAGAACAACAGTGCCATGTCGTAGTTCCCGAGTGTGTAGAAGATGGTGGCCTTCTGCAGCACTGCCTAGATCAAAGTTCAAGAATATTGATATCACTATTTATCATTAAATGCTTAGATCATTTATCTGTGGAAAGGCATCTGAATGAGCAACGCTGTGAGGCGTTAGTAGGCTATATACGTGGGCCTAGCGTTAGTAGGCTATATACGTGGGCCTAGCATTAGTAGGCTATATACGTGGGCCTAGCGTTAGTATGCTATATACGTTTAGCACACAGACACAGATCAAAGGAGTCTCTGATAAAGATGTTGTCTGTTCAAATGCGAAACATGAGGCAGCTTGTAAGTTCATATGTAAACATTCCAAGACAATAGTTACCGGTGGGTAGACATTATCAATGGACAGTGCTTTCTCCGCGTCCGCTAACGCTTGCTTCACGTGTCCCAGACGCAGGTGACAATGTGACTTCCCCACATGGGCCGCCAGGTTAGACGCGTCTAGTCGGAGTGCCTGCAACAACACATGCAATACTTAGTATCCGTAGGCAGTACTTCAGTGTGTGAGTGAGTGAATGAGTATGGGTTTACGCCGCTTTTAGCAATATTCCAGTAATATCACAGCGGGGGACACAAATGGGCTTCAGACATTGTACCCATGTGGGGAATGGAAACCGGATCTTTGGCATGACGAGCCAACGCCTTATCCACTAGGGTACCCCACCGCCCCAGAAGTTCACGAACACGAGCTTATCAAAGACACGTGGGTCCTGTCACGGCTACGTTTATGGGCGAGTGAGTGAGTAAGTGAGTGAGTGCAATATCACGTCGGGGGACACCAGAAATGGGCTTCACACATTTAGTAGGGAATGGAACCCTGGTCTTCGGCATGAAGAGCGAACGCTTTAACCACTCGGCTACCCCACCGCCCTTACGTTCTTGAACGGCTAATATACTTTCATAAAACACGACACAACTGTACACACGAAGTGTAATAACTAAACTCGGTCACACGTCCTTTGACTCACAGTGCCATGCGAACAAAGACATACCTCATGTATAAGGATGCTAAAGGATGAGATCAATCACCAAAGGTGAGACACCCCCCACCCACCGTAAATTATGAATGGTTCTTAACAGCACCCCCAAGGAAGTACTTCGCGTGTTTACCATTCATTGTTAATCCCCAAATATTACCGGGACCTGTTGTGTCCACTCACAGCTCCGTCAGAATAAACTAAGATTTGAAGGTCAGGCTACTCATAAGATTCTTACCAACTACAGCAAAATGCATTCTAAACAGTTATGTAGACAAAACATGCTGTAAATTAAGCAGATAGTCCCTATACATGTTTGCTATGTCTTACGAGTGAGGATCTCGATTCAAAAAGGACAACAAGGAACAGTCTTGATAAAACACCAGAAAAGAGAAATTCCTCCGAAGAACGATTATCGCCATTTAAAAAAGACTCTTGAAAAACGATTACCGTCCTTCAAGAAAGATCCAAGCGAAAAACGATTATCGTGCCAAAAGGCATTCGAGACACTAGAACACAATATAAGTGCATGTATGAACTTAAACTGCCGTGGCCAACATCGGATGACTCCACCCAGCTTAATCACATCAATTCTATATAATGACTGACTGGGTTAATCATGGCGTATATGTCAGATTGAAATATCCATAACTCGGCCTACATAGTTGCTGCCATGGAGTGTGGGTTGTACTCAATGTCTAAATGTCACTTCCACCTTACGCACCGTCCTCACCTCTATTGCCGCTGTGTTGAACGATAGGTCTCCAAGATACAAGGCCGTAAATTAATACTGCAGGGCAGTATCTCAATAAACTTTTTGTCAACCAAATTTGAACTTATCTCACTCGTGACAGATCATTCTTTGAACTTGATATTATTAACTTCTCGGGGTACATGACACAGCGGCTTTATTCGCGGGACCGTCCGTGTATCATGGCTGTCTTTGTTCAATACTCTGAAGCGAAAATCGGTCTCGGAAATTTGTTTCTGGCATTCCTGTATTAGCAATATTAATTTCAGTTCACTACATAGAATGACAAATACTTCACTGATTCAGTTTTCCTATCCAGGTCATAACAAAACTTTATTGAATCATATGGGCGATTCCGATTCCTCACCTGATTTGCTGTAGTCATAATGTTCAACGGGACACTAATGACTGCTCTCAAACATGTTTCTTCTCTGTTAGGTGTTTTCTTCAATTGCAGAATGAATATTTTTAAAGCTTGTGGGTTATTGATTCGTTGACAACTCGGGAGGTCAAGGTAGTAAGAGGTTGGGGTGTAGCCAAGTTGTTAAAGGGTTCGCTCGTCACACCAAAGACTCCAGTTCGGTTCCCCTATACATACAATGCGCCAAGCCCAGTTTTGGTGTTCCCCTCCGTGATAATTTTTAAATATTTGTATAAGTGACGTAAGTCACAACTCACTCAATGAAGCACTTGCTGACAGCATAGGAACAGATTTGCCCGCCAGGGGCGGCCATGTTGTACTCACAGCGGCGTAACTCTCCACAGCCTTCCGGTACTTCTTGTCCTTCATCTGCGCATCTCCCTCGCGCATGTAGATGTCAAACAGGTATCGTGTGCGCAGGAACAACGTCTTCTCACGCTGACGGCCAAATGAAACGCTAGCCGCCATATTTAAACTTAACCACAGCTTTTCTTCAGCAGACAGATATATTAGTCAGTAACTAAATGCGCAGATTTGTCACATACAAATCAACGAGGTAGTGTTTATTGTCACATGTGACAGTGACATGGAGGTCGTTCATAGATTTCGTTTCGGTGTCCTGTTTAATCTGTCGTCTCGCATCAAATCTGAAACCAAACAAGGTCATTAGTCAACTATAAATGCATATCAATATCCAGAGAAATGTGCATCTTTTCATCATTAACAGTCTTTCTGCATTTTCCATATGTATCAGTTCATATGATGATCAGAAACACTGAACTGTGTCACCCCTTGATGTCATCCCCATAAACCTACATAAAAGGCGACCAAGTGGATCAGGTGGTCAGCCTCGGTGGCATGCTTGACGACGTTATGTGTTGATTATAATACAACCACTGGTTTGTACGGCCTTGATTCGATCATTTAAAGACCACTGTGATACAACAGTGACACAAAGTGGACGCGGCGTACTGCATCTACGTATACCTATCTAAACATGTTGTGATATATAAGATCGAAAACAGACAACCTGAAGAAGACCATGGTCACCTATAACGCCACTTTATACCGGTATTGCATTACCGTTATACACAAGACTATGGTAGGTATATAAACTGACGAAAAAAAGAAAGTATACACTTGCTATTGGACTTGACCAAACATAACAAACGTTATTTAAACGTTACTCCGCTGAAACGGTCGCCGCAACGCTCCAAAGTTAAAGTCCAAAACGCAATAATGATACCCGTATCAAATACGTCACCAGCGAATAATATGTTCCTGTTTCACTTTAAGCTACAATCAAACATGGATGTATAGTTTATTTTGCCCACCAGTATATCTATACCAGTTCCCTGATAGGTTTGGGAAACATTATTGCCATGATATTACCACCTGTGTCCAGTGTAGGCTGTGTAACATAAACCTCTCTTCCCCAACCCCAACACCCCTGCCCTCCCGACCCCTGCCTCTTATCCCTTCCCCTTACCTTTTTCAGCATACGCGAGTGTCAAGCCACCGTACCCTGACGCTAGAGAGTATACATGTCCGTTCTACGTTCAGCTGTATGTATGGCCGCGCACCTATCGGTGTAATATGAGAGTCCGTTCTATGACAACTGGAGCACCGGGGACCCATCTAGGTGTTTGATCACAGAGGAAAGTTAATCTGGGTATATTCTGTTGTAGATAGTATCTAGGCAATCGGCCACCATGTTTTACCTGTGACAGGCAAGCCTCCATTACTTAATCCAGGTCATATGTAAATCAAAGATAAGTTTTTACACCTGTCTGCTTTTGTTCCTTCAGGGATATTCAATTGCACAGACCCGAAATACTGATCTGACGGAATGTGTTTTTTATTAGAAGTTGAAGGTTGAACAAACATCAAGTTGACGTTTCTCTGATATCCTTGATTTGTTGTATGTACCTACTTGCTCTCCTCCTTCACAAAGCTTTGAATAATAATTTAGTTTCAAGTTTTGTTTTTATTATATATATTTACATATTTTAAGTTCACAAGAGGTACATGTACAGATTGTTGTGTACAGTGTTGAAAGATTTCAACAAATATTAGTTCAAGAGGGTAGTATTCATATTATACTCTAACGGTTCTTGTTCTGTAATTTGATACGCACAGTAGGAAATGGCTACGACTCAGCAAGTGTATGGTCACATTCATATGGAATCCTGGAAGGGACATTGTCGCGTTGTCGCACTCTCAAAAACATGCAAAATGAGGCAAAATTAAGCAAAGCGCGACAACGCGACATTTCGGCCATTTGTCGCATTGTGGCATATCGCGTTTTGAATAATATTTTTCTATTCCTCCAAAGGGCGACAATGCGACATAGCGACAATTTTCAAGGTCAAATTATGTCTCGTTGTCGCATTGTCGCCCCATCTAAGATGTGTAAAAAAGCCTAAAAATGCGCGACAATGCGACATGTGTCCCTTCCTGGATTCCATACATTCACTGCGGAGAGCTGACCTGAGGAAAACGAAACGTAAACACACGGGGTAATGTGAATCTTCTCAAGTTCAAGCACCTGGCATCTTCTTGACCACCCCTTGACCACCCGTGGCATAGAAGGTATGTGTGCCATTCCATTTACCACCCGAGTTATACTGATGGTATGTGTGTCGTTTCCTTGATGACCCCGGCTACTGATGACACGTGTGTTGTTCCCTTGACCACCCGAGGTTTTGATGACACATGTGTTGTTCCCTTGACCACCCGAGGTTTTGATGACACATGTGTTGTTCCCTTGACCACCCGAGGTTTTGATGACACATGTGTTCATCCCTTGACCACCCGAGGTATTGATGACACGTGTTGTTCCCTTGACCACCCGAGGTATTGATGACACATGTGTTGTTCCCTTGACCACCCGAGGGATTGATGACACGTGTGTTGTTCCCTTGATCACCCGAGGTATTGATGACACATGTGTTGTTCCCTTGACCACCCGAGGTATTGATGACACGTGTCATGTCTGTGAGTGTTTTATTGTTAGGCATGTTTACACATGGTGTACGTTTCCTTTAGTTGCCTATAGGCATCAGAGGCCAAACACTGGATTTGGTTTCGTTATATAAACCAATGATCACATTTATGATCACTTGTATCCTTTTAATACGTGTAACACTTAGTGAATACAACAGACTTGACATTACAACTATGTGTAAACTTGAGGCATGCGGTGTTCATGACAGTAATATATCCCACCTCGTCAGTATCGCTGGTAGTACAAGACAATATACCCTCTCTCTCAGCATTATTGTGTAAACAAGTTCGTGTCACTCGATAATCTGTGTGTGTTGTTGACAGATATTAATCTTCCCTCCCTGACTGATATTCTACCCCCTACAACGGTACTTACCCTAGATAGTGACATGTACCCGGGCAAGGAAATACAGTCATGCTGGATTGCGTGCGAGTTCTAAAAACTCGTCGCTGGGACGCAACAGATTTAATTAACGTGTTATCGCTCTAAAATCGATATTTTTCAAATATTTACTTTCTCCGAAACGGTTGCACATAACATGAACTTATATCTCTTTAACATGATTCTGAACAGTATGATATTAAACCTGAAACAACACGGGGCCATATATATATGATTACCAATGGTAAGGTGAGTGAGTGAGTGCGTTTTTTACACCGCTTTTAGCAATATTCCAGCAATATCACTGCGGGAAACACTGGAAATGGGCTTCACACATTGTACCCATGTGGGGAATCGAACCCGGGTCATCGGCGTGACGAGCAAACGCTTTAACCACTAGGCTACCCAAACACCCCTACCAATGGTAATGTCGATATATGGCACCACATATGGTCTTTAATACTGTCGACCCATGTGACGAACACACTTTTCGTCACTGATTAGTGCTGTTCTAGTGTCTGTAAGAGACGTAGTTAATGGCACCGTATGTTAGTCCCAGGTGCAGCAATAAGGTTCCATAGTTTTCTGTATTTCACGCTGACTTGCATATCAGACTGGCAACTAGCTGAATATAGCTGTGTCCTGCCTCAAGCACAAAACGTGCAAACACAACAAGCTGAATGTGACCCATTCTTTCCAACATATTTGGTAACTTGTTGAAAGGTTTTATTACCTGACACCGATCTGTATATAAACTGACTTAATGGTACATGCCCATGTCTGTACGTGGACGCCGTACATTGTTCTGTGGTGAACAATGGAGGTCGCTGCCATGACTCTGGGTTTCATTACAGACATTAGCATTGGATATGTTCACACTACCGATATAATTCCGTACAACTGGGAAAGCAAGTATGTGTTACAGCACAGGAATATAAGACGCCTAATCAAATGTCTATCTCTCTTCGGAAATATTGATTTTTATGACACTTCATCACGTAATATATTGTACACTGGCTTGTGTATCATGTACATTGTTTGTTGTTTAACGCCACATCCATGGTGGTCTGTAAAATAATCATGGCGAATCTGGACCAGACACTCTGGTGACTGACATCATGCGCATTTATCAACGCAATTTGGATACGATAACATGCATCAACAGCCTGACCACCTGATCCGGTTAGTCGCCTCTTCCAAATGGGTCGTGGTCGACCAATTGTAATCCGGGTCATTTTGACGGGTTTTCTATAAGCATATATCTGTAAGGTTATTTACAAATGGTTGAATTTTGAACACGATTATCTATTCAAACACTACTGAAGCACAACATGTATAACTTAAATTACATCAGTTTACATAAACAAAACCCATTTCGGATAAAATGAAATTGTTTTCTGGATGAATTATTTGTCTCATGTATCTTCATAACAGTATAACATTTCCATCCTTGTTTTGAGCTCTCCACTTTAAAGTGAGAAAAGTGAGTGCTTATTTTCAAACATTGATATAACCTAGTTCTAAACTAGTTTCATACTGGAATAAGGTGATGTTTGTGTGTACACGTACCCTTTAAACAATTAAATGAAATCTGAAAAATATGAGTTTAACGTGAACTTAACAACTGAAATTAATGCCCTACCTGACACTTCCGAGGAGTATTTAAAGGTCCCCTGTCCGCAGCGTGTTGACACTGGGTCAGTAGTGTGTGGGGAGCCACATATCAAACGCCATGCATTTGAAGACTGCTGGTTGTCAGTTGCCCTTCACTATATTAAGTGTACAAACAGCAGTGGGGAGACAGAGGGTCGCTAGGGGTGGGCATACCCCGACACGACACATTCTGAAAAACTGTTTTGTCAAATTATGTTTTGATAATTTCATTTTCGGAGCCAAGATTCTTTTAAGACATACGAAAAGGCTCTGCATATTCTGTTGATCAGTTTCGAAGTTTATGTTTGTTTTTGTTAATTATCATGTCTAGACAACACAATCCATGTGAGTGAGTGAGTTTTTAGCATTATTTTAGCAATATCACGACGGGGGACATCAGAAATGGGCTTCACACCTTGCACCCATGTGGGGAATCGAACCCGGGTCCTCGGCGTGACGAGCGAACGCTTTAACCACTAGGCTGCCCAACCGCCCCAACACAATCCATGAACGATCCATGCCGTGGGAGTACAATGAGATGTAATCCCGAAGTCACCGAGCCTGACAAACTGATCCACTTAGGTGCCTCGTTCCACAAGCATGCATAGGCTGGTGTGGAACTGTTCTCACTAGGACTACCTATGTTATACTGAGACAAAGATCACTTTCGGTATCAGATATTAATTACAACTCGTAGTCTGGGGACTCCTCATATCGATGCTCACCGTATCGATCACTGGTGTTTCTGTTCCAGGCCCAACCGTACTTTTAGCTCGTCAAAATGATATAATGATGAGTGTGTGACTGTTATTTAAACAGTATTCATTCTGGTTTGGAAATAACAAAGTCTGGTCCAGGCAAACTGGTGGCTGAAATCAAGAGCAACTATTTACGCCACCAGCAAGTCTAACCACTCACTGGATCCGCTTCGCTCCATTTAAACAGTCATGGATACTGACATTTCCCTCCTGGGATACAGTGAGTGTTAGTGAGTGCGTTTAGTTTTACGCTGTAATATCCCAGCTATATGGCGGCGATCTGTAAGTAATCGAGTCTGGACAAGACAATCCAGTGATCAACAGCATGAGCATCGATCTACGCATATGGGATACGATGACGTGTCAATCAAATCAGCAAGCCTGACCATCCAATCCCGTTAGTCGCCTCTTATGACAAGCATAGTTTACTGAAGATCAATTTTAACCCGGATGTCGCCTCTTACGACAAGCATGGTTTACTGAAGATCAATTTTAACCCGGATGTCGCCTCTTACGACAAGCATGGTTTACTGAAGATCAATTTTAACCCGGATCATCACGGGTGCCTGGAATACAGACATGTCAGGTACGTTAGTTTAAACATTGTGTCCTACTCCACCCGGTGGGGACCCTCATCTAAACGCGACCAATCCCCGTCACGGTACATGTACAAGTGTTCACTTTTCCTTCGCCATTTAACTGACCCCTCACACAAACGTTATAGAAGTATATATCCAATTGATCTGGGTCAATATAAAGGGGGCTCATGAGTGACCTAGTTGTATTCTTTGGATTATTTTGTTATTTATTTTTGTCACAAGAGTGACCTAATTGTATTCTTTTGATTATTTTATATATTAGTGGTGACCTTATTTCTTTCATTTTCAGATTGTTGCTGCAGAAAAGAAACTATGAGTTATGAGTACTCCGGTGTCTTTGTTGGTTGAAGCCGTTTCTTAGGGTTACACAAATCCCTTTTTACATAATCGTACCTATTAACAAGCAGGAAAACAGGAAAACTATAATATTATTTCAATGTGTTACCGCTATATGGACCAGACAATCCATCGACTGATGATCAACGGCCCCGACCATGTGATCCGTTCAGTCACTTGTGGACGTGTTCTAGCCCGGAATTCCTTCGGGACGTCAAGTGAATCAAAAGTGGTAGGCCCGTACCTCTGTGGGGAAACTTACGACGTTCGTTGTTGGGGAAAAGATCATACGTTATTTGGAGATTATTTTCGAGCAAAATTAATGAGCGTATTACTGTTTATGGCACAGTGGACATGTATAGAGGGTTAGAGAGGTGGGGTGAAAATCGGCAGTTGTTATAATGACTTACTTAAGTTACTAGTTGCATAAGAAATCGTAGCCAAAGCGTACTTGTGAATGGGGAAATATCTAAACCAATGTACACAAAGGCTGGTGTGCCACAGGGGGCGATGCTTGGTCCGTTACTTATAATTGTTTTATATAAATGCAGACAAAAATACTCAGTCCATCCGACAAATAAATATGTTTTTCATCCATTTAGTATTTTATAAAAGTACATACAATTTGATGAACATGTTATGAAACAGTTAACTTTCATTGAGAAGATATCACAAAAGGTGAAGAACTATTTCCATTGCCTATTTATCCTGTTATCACAGGTTGGATGTTTCTGCATGCAGACATGGAAACACAGGGACAGCTAGAGCGTCAGCTAGCCATAGATCCGTTATAATGCATTTATATTGACATGCCCCTTTCTGTTACTGTTGGGGCGGTGGGGTAGCCTAGTGGTTAAAGCGTTCGCTCGTCACGCCGAAGACCCGGGTTCGATTCCCCACATGGGCACAATGTGTTAAGCCCATTTCTGGTGTCCCCCGCCGTGATATTGCTGGAATATAGCTTAAAGCGGCGTAAAACTAAACTCAGTCAGTCAGTTCTGTGACTGTTGTAGCAGCATATGTAAATAGTTATGCAAAACGGTCTGAAAGGCTTCCACATCCGCAGTGACAGTGTGTTTTACAAAATCATCGATGTGACAGGTGTGCATCTTATCAACATTGACCCCTGAAGGTCCGGGTTAGAATATTGGCCTTCAGTAAAACATGTTTGTCGTAAGAGGCGACTAAGGGATCGGGTGGTCAGGGTCGCTGACTTGGTTGACACATGTCATCGGTTCCCAATTGCGCAGATCGAAGCTCATGTTGTTGATCACTGGATTGTCTGGTCCAGACTCGATTAATTTACAGACAGCCGCCATATAGCTGAGTGTGGGGTACAACTAAACTCACTCACTCACTCTTATCAACATTAAGTCAGTCACCCACCACATCTGTCACCACTCATGTGACAAGATTGACCCTTCCACACCACACAGTCATAAAACGTGGACTTTTGTACCTTTCATAGACTAGTCACTGGTGTTGACAACATTTTAAGCATGTACACAAACTCTGAGAGATGCAACTTCATGATGTAAATACCTTTAATGCATATCACAGTTGGCTTCAATCCACTTTCAACAAGTGTAAACATAATTTGAACATATAATATTTGATGTTTTGACACATTTGTAACAAGGAAATTATGTACTCAACATATAACTGGCATGAAATAACCAGCTAACAAAATAAAGTCAATCTTGAATGCCCAAAGCCTTCAACTGCAAGACACATGATGTCCCAGGGTAGGTAATCCAGCAATATTTGGCAGTACAACAGTCATGAAGATTACATCTCCATGACAAGAAGAGTCTGACCATGGACATAAAGGTGAGTCTGAGTGACACCAGATGACTTGTGTCTGTCCCATTCTAGGCAGCTCCGCCTGAAACAAGTAACACATGGATGGTTATCATGGAGGAACACATAACGGTAGATTTTACAAACGCTTCATTCAATCTCGTCATTCAGTTGAACCAATGGTCCTTGTTCTGTTTCAATGACAATTATTTCTGTATGGCATGTCTTATCATTCATTAAACCTGTAAATCATGCCACTGAGTTTGAGCATTCAATGTCCAAATTATCAATTATTAATAACACATGTCCCTTGAATTGTACATTTTCAAGTTCTATGCATATGTAGTTTAAATCCATCTGATCCATTTATGATCTGCTGTAAACAAGAATGAAGGCAGGTCAATGTTTTACTCTCACCTTCTTCCGCAGCCTTGTTGTCATCCTGTTCTGTCTTGTCACCCTCCTCCTCTCCTGTCTTCTCCTCACTAGCCCCACCTGGAAACACACAGTCCACATCAACAACCACAGCTGTGAGCTACAGACTTGTCCTCAGTAGGGACGTGGGTTTGTTCACTGCACCCTACAGCCTGTTGTATTGTCTGTTCATTAAGGTTGCACTTATCAATATTCCTGCTATATGAGAGCAGTCTGAGAATAATTGAGTCTGGACTTGACAATCAAGTGATTGACATCACCTGATAGATTACAGGTGGGCTTTATTGATCTTGTTGCAAGGGTGCAAATATGTCAATTTGTGTTTGACTGAAAATATAATTCATCTTCTTGTTATTCGGTATTATCTTTACAGAAGTTTTAAGAGACCAAAGAAATTTGTGAGACCTAAAAAATAAGGGTAAAACCATATTCTTGTTCACACAATGTACATGTATAGCATGCAACACCGAGTTGTACCCACCTTCCTTATCTGCCTTGAGTGACTGCACAATCTTGTTGTTGACCTCATCAATGGCCTTCTTGATGGCCACCTCTGCTGATCGGTCATCCTGCACCATGGCTAGGTCCATCGCCTTCTCAAAACTGACCAGCGCCCCCTGGAGGTCTGCCAGCTTCACTGTCAACAACACATCAGTAACCAGACATCACCAATAAATTCACAAACTGATGCTTGGTGGTAAAGAACGCATTACATAGAGGAAAGCTGAATTGTCAGCGTAAAATAACACAATCTATTTTTTCATTCATAAATATATTCCACCCACCAACACTCTACTGTTTGACAAATGTAATACATACTTCAATCAATCAAGATTACCTCAGTTATCATATGAGTGCCCAAACTTTTATCACTGTCATAATCACTTTTATCACCGTATCCCCTTTTGTTTTTACAGCTCTCATCATCAAGGTTTCATCAAAGTTGTAAAGGTCAAAGATCTCCATCATCTAGACTTTCCTACCACATTAAACAGGCATGACTTGATATAACTGAAATACAATTTACAGTGGAACCTAACCCAACTCACAACATATCCTACATTATTTGCTTGTTTCTCACCCTGTGCCTGAGCTATGAGAACTGATGCCTGCAGCTGCCACACTGTGTCCTGAGCATCCTCAGATGCTGCCAGAGACTTCTCCCCATAATTTTTGGCATCGGCGTATGCATCCAGCTCCAAGTGGCAGCTTAATCTCATGTTAAAGGTCACATGCAACCAAAAAATCAAACATAATTAAAACACAATTATCACTTCTTCATGACATATAATATGCATTGCTGATTATGAAAACAAATAAACAAAATTATAAGCCGATAATCGCAAATCAAAAGTGCAATATTTTGTACTTGGGTTTACCTCCCTCAAACGTAAGCAGCAGCCGGGATACCAACCCAGTCAGAGCTGGTGGGTGTGCACTCAAGTGTAACGGCTGGTTCATTAGCAGATGCCGCCTTCACGCTCATTGTGTGTGTATATATAGAGATGTTGGGTTTTGTAAATACATGCTCATTTTTGTGTATAACATTTTGCAATCAACAGACATCATAACATGTCATGTGTTCAAGTATCACACCTGCCTGTCTGTGTAATTACATAATGTGACAGAGACCAAACTCGGCCATAAATCAATGCGCGCTTTGTTTATGGTGTATAGCCTGATTGGTGTTAAGTTCAAATTGCATGTGGTCAGTGATCGCAGTTGTGTATTGAATATTGTCATTAGCAGACAGGCAGGCAGACACACAGGTGTCAATAAAACAAGACATTGAGTTTTGTCTGTGACAGCGACATATCTATATCACAGTTAGAAATTGTGTCAACGCTTAAATAATGACATTGCTTTTAAGTATCGAACTGAGAAAGTGACTCGGTAAGAAGAACGTGTGGTGAAATAGACAAATGAAATTATATAAACAGTTTATTTACTGTCATAACATATAAAAGCTCGCGCCTGTGAGATATCAACAAAACATTATGAAAATAGCTCACACCAAAGCCTTCACCGAGTATTCACCAGACAGCCCGCCTTCCAAGTTGCTTAACCTATTTCACTGCGCACGACGCATATGAGCGCAGCCCAGCTGTTGAAACTCCGTATTCCCCAGAAAAGTCTGGGGAAAATTAGTGAAACGCTTGAACTCCGATTTCGCTTTTTTCATCGCTATTTTTCAACTTTATAAGTTGAATTTGCATTTTGACGCTTTGTTTCGTAAGTCCATACCGAAAGGTATCAGAATCTGCAAAGTTGTGTTTTACGCTGCATGTGACCTTTAACAAGGTCAATGCTGTGATGGTGCAGTGCCTTCTCGTACTGACCCATGTCGAGGAAGGCATTACCGATGTAGCTGTGCAGGTTGGCCATCACCTCCATCTTGTTGGGGATGGCATCATCCCCATAGTTCTGTACTGTTGCCAGACACTTCTCTGCTCGCTTCAGACTCTCCGACGTCTTTCCATTTAGTTGTGCTGGTAGATTGAAGACCACAGTTACAATAGGAACGAGTACAGTTCAAGAAGGTAATCATTACACACAGACTTCTGAAACTTGGGACAAATGGTAAAACATGGGTGCCACATGTGCTTGTGTACAGTCGCATCTTATAGTATTACCTTCATCTATCTTCTCCAATTCACTCATGACATACTCCTGAGGCGACTGGCCCTTGCTTCCGGAGTCTCGTCGCCGACGCTGTTCTCTACGCTCATACAGCCTTGTGTACATGGGTTTCTGCTGTCTCCAGAAATCTGTGCGAGTGTCCAGGTATGACAGACCTTCCTCTACCAGGTCTGAGATCGTCTTCCCTGTGTTCGTTGAGGCATCTGAACCAAAGTAAACAACAGGTGATACTGATATTCTGAGTTAACACAAATCACTAGATCTATAGACACCATTACCTGTCAGTTACCAAAATACACAGCCTTACAATATCCTTTTATTAAAGTAGTGAGCATCACTGAGGGGTGGACGACGATCATGGCAGAATTCTCCTGATTAACAGATTTCGGAGTATGTCCTATCTCAATGAAGTATTTAACCCAGCTGAAATGTGAGTATAAAAATGTAATTTTTAAAGTAAAATTGATATTTTATACTTATCCTGACTCATGACGAACAAAGATCATGAGTCAGGATAAGGAAAAATTACTATTAAACAGGTAATTCACTTCTCTTAGAATTCTATTTAAAATGATACATATAACATTGTTATGCCATCCCTACATGAGGAGAGTGAAATGGGGTTGTCTCTGGGACTAAAGAATCCTGCACTTTTAAAGTGACATGCTTTTATGTGTGTGGCTCTACAGGTTGGACTTTGGTCTGTTTAACAGTGCTAGTTCAGTCAGATACCATACTACATATAACATCGGTATGCCATCCCTACATGAGGAGAGTGAAATGGGGTTCTCTCTGGGACTAAAGAAACCTGCACTTTTGATGTGATGTGCTTTCATGTGTGTGGCTCAACAGGTTGGACTTTGGTCAGTTAAATAGAGCTAGTTCAGTCAGATACCATACTGCAGTTTAACATGGATTACCCACTCATACACACAGAATACAGTCCCCTATCTGACCAGTGTGGATTGTATTCCCTGAACACAGGATATGTACACGTCATTTGTGTATACGACCAAGGAAATATAACATGACAAAAAGGTACCAATGTTATCATATAAGTGAATATTTTATCTCTTGTAATCCATGTAGCGTGAGCTAAATGTCCCCAGAACCCAATGTTAAAAATCCAAAGATGATACGATAGATATCATGTAACCTGGCTGATTGGGTTTCATCGTTAATAGAAAATGTTTTTGTTACTTGGCTATGAATATATGGTTTGAGTAGTCCAGAACTAGAATATTGAAAGGCTGGTAACATGATAGAGACCGCAGCACAGCACAATGCAAACTGACTCCAACTGACTGTCTATGTACCTGTCTCCTTGAGGAGTAGTTCCAGGTACTTCCTGTCCCCATACAACTCTCCCAGCATCTGTTTAATGGTCCTCTCGCTGGCCTGGGAACGGGTCGTGTCACGCTTCTGCTTACTCTGCTGCTGGGCATTTTGGCGAGCAAAGCTTCCATATGCTTGACGCTTTCTCTTCTGCTTCTGTAACGTTCAAAGTCCAGTACCCCATATAAGTGTTCATCTTTACACAATATGCTTGAAGGACCTAGCAATGACTTTAGCAATGAATGCAGGATACAAAATCTGATATCTATGTTAATATAAGCCACAATTGTTTGTTATAATATTTGAATTTAATCTTGAATATTTGCCAACTGGACATTGACAAGGATCCCTTGATTCATCCTTCATTCCAAACAACACAATAACCTGTTATTGCCTTAGTAAAAGTCTTTTGGTGTCAAAAACAACAAAATTCATTACAGAACTGTGTACACCTACATCATCCTGATCCTGAAAGAATGTCAGATCTCCACTTGTGTTGAGCTTCACCTTCTCTGGAGCTGCAAGTAAATACAATTTTAAAATATTCTGACAGTGTGTGTGCTTAGTTTCTAAATAATGAGTGAGTGAGTATTGTTTTACACTGCATTTAGCAGTATTCCAGCATTATCACTGGGGAACACTGGAAAATGAACTTTACACATTGTACCAATGAGGAGAATTATACCTGGGTGTATCCATGATGAACAAATGTTTTAACCACTGGACTACCCCACAGTCCATCCTATACAATAAAGTATTCTGTCAGCTTTCACAAAAAATTGAAAATAAGTCCTTTAAAGTAGATATATCTGACAGGAATCAAAATATCATATTTCTTGAATTCATACAGCATTTCATGATCATGTTAACATATTTTCTGAATTTGATGTCCACTGATGTCTGTCTTCAGTGAATCAGTGACAGAAGAAAAACTTTCCCTGATAAGAAACATATGACCAATGGTCACTTGTCACCTAACTCAAGAAAAAAATAACCCTTAAATCGTCTTCCATCGTCTACTGTTAATAAACCTAGCCAAACATGGCTAAACCATGTCACTCACTTCCAACCGAGTTGTCAATGGCCTCCTGAGCTTTCTGTATCCCAAGCCGGAACTCCTGTAGCTCTGGGCGTAGCTTGTGACCACGGTGATAGAACACCAATGCCATCTCAAAGTCTCCCTTGTAGTACAGCGCGCTTCAGCTTTCTGGTAGACCCCCTGAATAATATCACACAGACCATAACTATACAGGCACAACATTTCCTACAGCAGACAGAACAATCAATTATATCTGATATTTCTCAGTAATAGTAATGAATGCTATACTCAATAATGACAGTGACAGACTTGGATCTGTGTGTAAAAACAAAACATTCAATCTTGATTTATATATCATTCAGTACATTCCATAACTGACCTTGTGGAAAGTCTTATCCTCCTGAAGTGAAGCTTCAGCATCAGCAAGGGCATTTTTGGTATCACCCAGCTGAAGATGACACTTTGATCTCGCAACTAGGCAGGTTTTGTCTCCTGTCTGAAGTTCCAGTGCCTGTAAAAAACACAATTGTCATGTGCGAGTGACCTTTAACAATAATGAGCATTCCAAGGAAGTAATAAAATAACACAATCTGAGTTCCTTTACCTGCATATGTCATCATGCATTGACTGTTACTTAAACATAACGCTGAAGCAGATATTTCCATGCTTCTTTGGGAAAACAAACCACTGGCAAACTAGCCCAGAGTAAATGTTTTTTCAAACTGAAATGAACTAAATTTGAATCAATCACTAAAGCATATAATTATGTATAATGTGAAAATTTTGTTGTTGTAGACGTAATTACAGCTGGCTTTTCAGATAGAATAATTTTTTAACACCATATGTTCAATATTTAAACCCTGGCAGTGTGTTACAAAATAAAAAGGTCCCTTGGGACCTTTATTTATAGGTTTTCTGCTATATATAGTATTTGAATTTAGGTGCCCTCTAAGTGTGGAGTCAAGATAATGAACCCTTGAGCTTCATGCTTAGTTTCTGCATGGTATTAATCCCATATTTCAGTGAATATTGTTTTTTGGCAGTCAGCAATGTTCAAGAATAGCTAGGCAGTCTGTGACCAGGCAAAACAGCCACTGAAATCATATCTAAGGGTACAATAAAAGAGATTATGATAAAGCCAAAGAGACAGTCATGAGGTATTGGGGACTTTCTCTGACGCTGATCAGGGAATTTGTTCCAAGTTTCACCTGTCAGCCCTGCATGCCTTTAACACTTATTTATAACAACATCATATGGTCAACTTGCCTTGGGATTTGAGAGAAATGTAAGATTATAAAAGACATATTTACCTCATGAGAATCCTTGTCAATTGCCTTATTTTAAATGTTTACACTTTAGGACTTTGTGGTTGGTAACAGAAAAAGCTTTATGCTCGTTAAGGTTGCTCATAGGGCAACCTGCTTAGTATTAGATTATCCAGAATTCTCATACAAATAAGCTAACCAATAACAAAGCAATTAAATGAACTTGATTAAGAAGTGTTTCAAACCTTAACAAAAGCCTATTATAAACAAATATTGGGGATCATTACAGGCATTGTGAGTGTTTGCTTTGTTGACACCCAGCTGGAGTATTATAAGCTGCCTTATTTTAAAGTAGAGTAACTGCATACTTTCATTAAAACATTAATCACACTATGTTACAATATACAAGAAGTAGATACATCCAGTATCAGTTAATAATCCTCACTGAGATTTTATATCAAGACTTTCCAATCTCCAGCATTCATTAAAACATTCAATAAAATTAATAGCATTAGGAAAAATGACACAATGCACATCATAACACATATCATAATGGAGATCATGTGGAAACAAAGGTTAGACTAATGCAAAACCCCAATTTGGCCACATGGACTGGAAAGATTGATAAGATTCTCCTTCAGTTTTGGTTGAAACAATATATGTTGACACTGATGATGTTTCATAGTACCAATCTCTTCTCAGAAAAGGATTCTAGATCAAACCCAAAAAGAAAGTGATTTGGCCTGCCATCTTGTATTCCAAAATCTGAACAATTTATTATTTCTTCCTAAAATTACTTTGATTGAAATTTGCATTCATTTGGAGGTAACTGATGAGTTAGAGATCCGCACATAAAACTGGCAGAAGTTTTAGGCCAAAATTTTCAGCCATGACTGAATATTTCATATAGCGTCAATTAAAGAACGGATGATGGACCACAGCTAGGAGCGATATCAATACTTCAATGCCATGGGAGTTCTTAATTATTAAAGGCATGCGGGTCACGGACATCGAAAAACAATAATCAAATGTAAAGATAAAACTTTGAGTGTCTGCGTTTTTCAAAATCAAAATGAAAAGTAAAACGTTACCGTCGTGTAACTTTCGATGGATTTTCTGTAGTCTCCCTGTTTGAAAAGTGCATCAGCCTCTGCTTTATAAATTTCAAAGGTGCCCCTTGGGCCTTCCGATGATCCATCGTCTTCATACATGATTTGTTACTAAATATTCCACCACAATACGCACTGCAAGACACGAAACAACTGCTCTCTCACTAACGTTGGCGAAGCATTGACGGGCGAACGCCCGTTGCTAGGTAACCCTCCAGGCGCCCTCATCTCGGGCAGAATGTTATCCCGGACAAAATAAAGTACCCATAATGCTATCGGCTGACCATATCTAAGTCGATTTATATCAGCACATAACATACAAAATGTCCATTCCATCTTTCACTCAAATTGTAAGTGTTTTTTGCGCAAAAACAAAATATAATTGTAAAGTTATACCCATGCCGTGGTTTCTTCCTTCATAACTTCATGCGACTCTTTCTGTTTTATTGAGGAAATATTTTGACTGTATGTGAAAAAGGGATGATCGAAACTTACTGTGAATATATATGTTGTTAGATTTCATCTTTTGAACATTTATATAAATTATCATCATCACCATCATCATTGACAGTGAATGGATTTATTTACGGGGTTAAATTAGCGATAGATAAGAAATGTGCATTCCTAATTTTAATAGTTTAAATGAGAGTACATAATTACAAAACTGAAAAGATTAAAACACATGTAAAATTTAGAGTACGCAACATGGTGAATTTCGATTCAGACATTGCCAAGACGGGTAGAGGTTTAATGGTTTAACGTAAGGGGATTATAGAGCCTACAGCCCATGTATTTGGTTGACTACGAAGCTAATCCGAATACATCATGGTGTTTACAAACGGATCAACGCGGTATAAATGTTCCACTGTAGAGACCTCCTCTTAGTTACCGTGTAACTCCTTAGTCGTTGGTCGTTCAACACGCCGACCAACCGTTCAGTGAGTGAGTGAGTTAAAGACAAGTGATATGGGGCCGGGGGACTTGTATTCCTTTTGCATTGGCGGATCCAGGGGTGGGGTTGGGGTAGGGGTTGGGGTTCCAACCTCAAACCACCCCACCCCTGAAACTGACTAAAGACCACATAGAAGTTACTGTTTTGCATTGGCGCAGCCAAGAGGGGGTTCGAACCCCTGAAACCTACCCCCACCCCACCCACCCACCCACCCCACCCTGAAAATTCCTGGATCCGCCTAGGTTTTGGTTACTGCTATTTAGTGTTTGGTTATTTTTGCTGAAATGAAATGTATGTTGTCGACCCCTTTCCAAATATTTTTTTTTCAACTGAAATAACTAACCAATGCATAATGATTATGCAGCATTTTTTGTGTAGGCTACACGCGTTTCCTACAGCTCCACACAGCGACTGACTGACTGACTGAGTTTAGTTTTACGCCGCTTTTAGCAATATTCCAGCAATATCACGGCGGGGGACACCAAAAATGGGCTTAACACATTGTGCCCATGTGGGGAATCGAACCCGGGTCTTCGGCGTGACGAGCCAACGCTTTAACCACTAGGCTACCCCACCGCCCCTCCACACAGCGACACGATGTGAGAAGACAAGATATGTATGGACATGTGCATAAATACATTGTACGAAGTAAGCGCTTCGAGTAATCAATAATTTGTCTTAATATTATTATGTCCATTCATTACGTCCATTCATTATTGTTCATGTTTCTGATGGGAGCGGGCGGTAATAAGTTACATAACTTGTGCCCAATCCATTTTAACACTGAATAAAATATTTTCAAACAAGATATGTATCGTACTCTGGAAATGAACACTTCTCGTATATTAGTAGTAACACACGATTGTCCCAGCGACCCAGGCATTCCAGCAGCCACACAATGCGACGTTAAGCATTTCGTTCCTTATGCCAACTAGAAACTATAGATCTTAATTGGGTTCGAACCCCTGATTCACCTACTGTACGTGTTCACCCATTTCTTCCCATATCCCATAAGCAGTTGGGCTTGATGTAAATGAATATGCTGATGCTGCTTAACATTGACTCACTCACTCACTGTACTACAAGTCAAAACATTGATTACACAACAGTCTCGTTTCCTGCTGACTGGTTCCGTCCTACTGCGCAACAGAGTACAATAACCAGTCAAGAATGTTGAGACCAATTCATTCAACTGGATACATAAATATTAATCAGTATCATTTGATACATCTAAGCACTTGTATATTGCAACACTTCGCTCCTTCTAGTCCTTGCAAACACGTCATGCAGCGTGCTCCGTCGTACAACGTGCTCTGGCAAACGGAAATCTGGAAATCTCAAAACGAGGCTCTGCCGCTAGAAAACTTTGGCGGTCTGGTACGGATTTGATATATCAATCACTTTGTGCGTTACAAAATTACACCGAATAAGCGCAAAAAAACGCATAACAGGTGTAACCAGTGAGCCAGATACATTGTGAATCATTTTACGACCTCATCAAACAGGGGTAGTCTGTGACGTCTTAGTTAACGACATACTGCCTACACCTCGCCATAAAATATAGAAATTCGAGGTTATTACAGTTTAAAATTAAAATTAACTTGTAAATACAATTGTCTTATGAAACATGGAATTCGAATTCAGTGTCTCTTTTCACTTTCACACGAGAAAATTCGGATCGGCTGAAAAGTAGGTCATTGTCTGAATAGGTTAATGAGACTAATGTTTCGGTTTGACCATCAAAAGCACACCGCGCACAAGCACACGCACATATACGCACACGCACACGCATACAGAGTTGGATTCCGCATGGATGCTTTCAGGGGGCGGATACAGCTTTTTGAGAAAGGGGGGGGGTGCACACTATTGAGAAAAGGAGGGGTGCACACTTCATTTTCACCCGAGTTTCAATGGTCATTTAACAAACTTTCACCACAAAAAAAGGGTGGGGGGCGCACCCCTGCATCCTCCTCTGGATCCGCCTATGGCTCTATAATTCGTTGGAAACACGAACTCTGTATGTTACGAATAATGGTAGCGGCAAAGGGTGGCCTTGTAGGGTGCGCTTTGCAGAGTAGCGTCCCTTGGCCGTGTCAGAAACATTTGATGGTAGGTACGATTGTAGTTTCGTCCCGATCATGTTTCTACGTCTGTCAGCCACGTACCTATGCGTTTCACCAAAGTGGTAATTAAACGTCTGATATTTGTTCCAGAGCGGCGCTAAACCGAACTCTCACATTGATTATAAATTGTGTAGGATTTGTTATATAAACTGGTGTTTCAAAAAGTGATTCTTGTTGCCCTAACATCATACCTACAACATAACGACAGCGGACACCGAGAATACTTGCCTGTCACACTGTGAGACCGTGGTGGGAGCCGGACATGGTTGTCAATAGCAACACAATGCATGCGTTGTGTATATGTTGTGTAGCATCACTGCAGCTATTATATAGAAACATATGGCATCAATGTAATACGCTCTATACTCTTACACTGTATAGGTTAGACGCATCTGTGTAGATTATAGCAATCCTTGGTACAGCATTTTCTTAGATATAATTAAACCATCTGCTGTTTTCTGAGGTAACCTTGAACTTTGGCAGGAGTGAACCAAATCGTTCAAGACAACACACACAGTCCGTACTATACATTAAATGGTGACACCCTAGAAATCGGGCGGTGGGGTAGCCTAGTGGTTAAAGCGTCCAAAATTTGTCAGTTGCCGTTTTGATCTGAAGAAAGACTTTGAACTATCAAAAGTTCAGTTAGATATTGATACCATTCTTTACGGCAACCCTGCTCTGCCAAATACTATCAATGAAAATATCTTTAGACATGTGCATAAATACATTGTACGAAGTAAGCGCCTCAATTAATCAATAATATGTCTCAATATTATTATGTCCATCCATTACGTCCAACCATTATTGTTCATCATTGTTCATCATTGTTCATGTTTCTGATGGGAGCGGGCGGTAATAAGTTACATAACTTGTGCCCAATCCATTTCAACACTGAATAAAATATGTTCAAACAAACAAAAGCGTTCGCTCGTCACGCCGAAGACGTCACGCCGAAGCCCATTTCCGGTGTCGCCCGCCGTGATATTGCTGGAATATTGCTAAAAGCGGCGTAAAACCATACTCATTTAAAGGCCGTCGTCATAGAGCTGGAATATTGCTGAGCAGTTGAAGCAAGTATATTTGTTCTAATCGGATGGATGCACTGTCAATACCAGCAACGTTAGGATAGATCAACTGCGTACGTTGTACAGGGTGGAAGTCCTTCTGTACTGTCACACAAACCATCGATTCGGATAAATCAGATAACAATAAGCAAACTAATATGATATTCATTTTAATCACAAAGCATAAAACATGAACTGTTTGCGCCCAAAGCAAGGTGAAAATATAACCGAAACAAAACGAGGAATAAAATCATGTGGATTCTTCAAAATGGTAAAACAACTCGACACTAATTATGACCTCAAGCAGCTAGGAAATATAGCCCGCCCCACCGTCCTTGAGAGTCTGTTTTTGTGAAGGACGGTTTATTAAAAAAGAAAGGTCGTCCTTTGGTCGGGGGAAACATTTGAAAAAATAAACTTCATTATTTTTCATTGTTTCAGTTTATGGGACTGGCTGTGTTTGTTCGGGACTGGTCACTTTTTTGGACAGGCGACATTTCAAAACTATTTTATACACTGCCTCAAAGGTGAAACTGTAACCCGATAAAGTAATATGTAATTAGTTTGTATATTGCAGGTTTCTTGAAGACATAATTCATGATTGGAAACACTTCTTGAACACATTATCATATCATCAGAACAACAAATACCATCAAATATCAACCATCTGCATTCAACTCAGATCTCTCCACACATACTACTCAAACGAGGTTTAAGAACAGCCGATCATATTTAATATTACCATAGTGTGTGAGTGAGTGAGTATGGTTTTACGCCGCTTTTAGCAACATTCCAATAACATCAGGGCCACCAGAAATGGGCTTCACACATTGTACCTGTGGGGACTAATATTACTGCAGTGTCATGACAGATTAACTATAGCCATATGAAAGTATACAGTGTACATTTCTGGTGTCCCGCGCGGTGATATTGCAGGAATATTGCTAAAGGTGGCGTAAAACCAACCTCACTCACCCTCATTTCACTGTCGAGTCACGTGGGTTATATACAGGAAAACACCATTGCCATCACTGCAGTGTCTTGCCCAGACAAGAGTAAAGACCGAAACACTAGAACTCGATCACTCGTTTTGTAAAATCAGAATGACACACGTGCTCGTATGATAATCTCAGTATTGATTAAAAGATTATTAGTATTTTAAGGGTGTGTGTTATGCTCATTTCATACAGATTTACAACTGAAACGATACTAGCCTCTTTTAAGAACAAACCATAAATGGCATGCAAATATCTCACATAGTTACACATCGGAACAAATACTAACGATCATATCCCGTTTGGAAAAATATACATGCATTCAACTTCAGCATCAATCGTTTGTGATAATTAATTAAATGCAGTCAATTTCGTCAATGAAAATAGACTAGAATACAATAAACGTTCACCATAAAGCTGTTTCTCAGATTATATACAGACATCAAAACGTCAGTTAATATATTGTGTCCTTGTTCGGTGATATGGTGCATGTGTGGTTTTATCACATGGCATATCACGTGGTTTTCTTGAAGCTGAGAGACGCGCTGTTGATGCAGTACCGCAGACCGGTGGGCTTAGGACCGTCCTCGAACACGTGACCCAGGTGGGCGTTACACTGAAATATACAACATAGTGCTTTCTGTTTGGTCAAGGCATTTAATTCCTGATTTTCTTCCTCTCTAAGTGAGTGGGTTCAACACTTTGAATAGTATTCCAGCTATTTCAAGGCTTATTGATCAGCTTCATGTGGGAGGACTGCGCGAATTGATGCTTGTCTCAGACAATTTGCTACTTCCAGTATTATACGATCAACAATCCAGTGACATCATGAACACTGATCTACGCGTCGGGGTTAATGTGACAACCTATAGTTAGCGTGTGTGACCACCTGATGTTAGGAGTTGTCTCCACTGACGAACTGGGATTCGAACCCACGATCGAGACCCCTGTTTCAATTTTTATCATGTTCTTAATTCTGTCCTCGGAAAGTTTTGTAAATAATTTGTTTTCAAGATTTAACACACAACCTTTTAGTAACAATCAATCAATCAACGAACGAACGGACCAACGCAGGAATGACCTACCTGTTTACACAATGCCTCTGTCCTCACCATGCCGTAACTGAGGTCAGACCGACAGATGACGTTACTGTGTTCGTCTGCGTGGTAGGCGTCGCTAAATGAGGGCCAGCCTGTCCCCGAATCAAACTTGGTGGACGAGCTGTGTAGAGTACACAAATGATTCGCTCATCATGACATGTTTTTTATAGGGTTAGGGTTTGGGGGTTGTTTTATTTTCCCATTTTCTGTATGAGAAGCGTCGTACAGAGAACAGCATCAATGGCCAGTACTACTTGTCATCCAGGGCTCACATTATTACAATACTTAACGAGTGCACCTTGAACGTGTGGCATGGTGTATGTTGTGGAAAGCCCGTTTGTTTAAAAAAGACAAAAACAAAATACTTTATCGAGAGAAAAATACACTTATTGATTTCTGTCATGTTTCAGGGTCGGTCGATGATTGTGACTGATGGAATATGTCATAATAAGTCTGCGGGAGAATAATAAAAAAAACCCAAAAAAAACACCAAAATACTTTATCGTAGTGACTCTTTATGGTGGGTTGTTATCCTAATAAAACTCTAGTCAAATCAGTCTTCGGTTTGAGCAGCCTCAACAGGGAAAGAGACTTTATGCAAATTACAATCCGTGTCTTGGTGTAACCTCTACATGTATACCTGAATAGCGTTGATTCGCAGCACACACACGTGTAAGTCCCCTTATCGTTGTGGTACACAAACTTTCCGGTGAAAGGCTAAAAGTAGTAAAGAAAGTAAATTTAAGGTGCGTAGTTTGATTTCATTTGAGACCGATGAATTGCTCACTAACACAAAATCTAATAAATGCAACAAAACCAAATTTTGCACAGTCATATGAAATCGACAGACCAGCTCTAATGATTTGTCTAATAATTTTGGACACCCGAATAAAAAGGTTGTTTAACAAACGATCATTATTTTGTTGTCACTTTTCGCTATTTCTTACGAGGGGGCACTTGCTGATGGAACAGCCAGGTGTGCGAGTTGCACGTGTGCAATTTCACTGCACACACTTGTTGATTACCTGGCTGTTCTACTGCGCTATGTATTAGGGAACACTTGTGCCCTGAACTAATTATAGCTACACCAAGAAGACGCATACATTCCATAACACAACCAGTAGGATTGAATAATAAATGACCAGGGGCTATTACAGAATATTTGGTAATATATTACTGGTTTAGCTCCACATCCGGTAGGTCCGGTCAAATAACCCATATGGGCACAATGTGTGAAGCCTATTTCTGGTGTCTGCCGCCGTGATAGTACTGGAATATTGCTAAAAGCGGCATAAAGCCAAACTTATTGCACTCAATCGGAGTTACAGCTGTTGTCATCAGTGAACTATTTTTCGTAACCTTAGCCGGAACCTATTCGTTGACAACAAAGAACTGTAATGCGCATCTATGTAATATACAGATAGCCTCGAAATAAGGAATTCTTCGAATCCATATATTACACAGAGTGAGATATATAAAATGCGATATTAGCACTGTAGCTCACCTTCAAATGTAATCAAAAAAATTACATTGTGAACGCAAATGGTTGAATCATGTCTGCAAAAACAATTCAATATGGCTGCTGTGAGGACATATTTAAAATAAGATGTAAACCTCTTGACAGATTGCATGGGGTGTCAAGGTATTACGTTTCAACTTCAATGGTCCAATGTTTTGAGAAGACATTGAATGTGCAAGAAACTGACGTCAAAACAAATCGTGGATAAGAGTAATACTGGCACAATATCAGCGTCTGAAATGACATAATACCTATCATCAGATAAGTTAATCCACTGCACTGTGACAACGCTGGTCCAGTGCAGTGGCATTTAGCAGCAGGAACGTACCGGTTCGGTGCCCTTTTCCCTTGTGACATTGTACTGTTCGGGAGTAAGCTTCTTCTCCCAGAAGGAGTTCGGTACCTTGGAGGGATCAGACCCCTCGTCTTTACAAGTTGAAAAACAGGCTAGAACAGTAAGAGAGTGTTTATCAACTGGTATCTCCCTGTCAAACACGTTCCAGTCAAATGCTTTGTCTTTAAAATAATACAAACGTCTTCAATACATTCAGTTAGCAAATCTGCTACACACAAAAAACTTATCTGGGAGGCGGCATTTAAATATCATTCCGTTCCGCGTTGCGAGTTTATAACAGTAGAGATGATTTGTCTAGAAAGGCACACGCGTGCTCCGACCCCTCCATGCATTGTTATTAGGAATCAAACTTGCCTGTTTAAAATACATGCGTATGTGACAACACAGAGAAAGTAACATCCCTTCAAAGTATCCAGATATACGTGGCAGTTCATTTTGCTTCGTTAGATAGTGGCCCTTGCAATATTTACGCACGCTCGCTCTCAGCGCACACTGAATATATAGCTTCTTCCTAGTCTTTACTTACTACATGGAATCACACGAAGTCTTGTTATAAACTTCAAAAGTTTAGAGTCACTAGTGTAAATATAACCACTTACTTATGGCAACGGTTCAAAACGAAATTTTGCAAATTATTCCATACTGTTTAAAGGACTGTTTACACATGAACTGATGTATTGTAAATCAAATTCGGAACGTTGAAAAGATTATTGTCATGAGTTCTATAAATGATAAAAATCAGTGGAAATTGACGAATTCTTAACAAACTTTACACTAATATCGTGCTGTTCACATGGACGATATTTGCACAAGCTTTTCAGCAATTTGATGCATGATCCTCGTGCAATTCATCTGCATAAGGTTTGCAGTTGGTTCCCCCAAGTTATAAAATAGAAGTTAGTGTAGAATTCATTCTTCGATGTAACCATATATATATACATAACATATAGTGAGTGTTTTAAGTGAGTTTTGATAGTTGTAAAAGAGGTCATATTTCTAACCGTAATGTATCCAAACGGCTACATTATTTTGAGGACAATTTATGTGTCTTTTTTATTGAACCGTAAAAAAAAAAAATTGTTTAAAAAATGTGCAACACACACTGGGTTATACAGTGTAAATGTCTTCCCGCGTCCCGAGGTGGCAGATATTTTTGCCTGCATGGAAACGAAAAGAATATGGCAGAAGATGTGGCTCATTGGACGTGCATTACCAAAGATTGTAAACGTTGAGAACTGTCTACGTCATTCCGACCAAAGAGCAGCACTCTATCCTCCTGGGATGTCCATGTATGAAGGTATATTCAGTTGTATACACATAGCATGGTATATATAATGATATACAATGTGGTGTTACTTATGTTGTTCTATATACATGTACTCTGTAATATTAATTTTTTACAGTGGCAAAGTATTGCATCACACCAAAACCACAAACCTAGAAACTGCTCCCAGGTGTTGCAGGTACACGGTAAGTCATTAAAGGACAAGACTACTACATGCCCGACATTGTGCCCTCTTTCAGAGACAGAGAGTAGACTGACAACAACTGTGGTCAGATAGCAGCAATGCCAACATTCCACAGCGAAAAGGACATCCAATATCGTGGTTGACCAATCCATCGACAAGGCCTCCTAAACCCTGACTCGTTCTCTGCAGAGGATTTCCTTCTGATCGACACCCGTGACATGAATTTAAGACTTTCCGCTTCACCTCTGAGAACTGCGCAGTATGTAGTGAGCATGTCATGAATGGACTGAATAAAACAACGGGAATGAAATACAATCTGGAAATATGTGTTCTGCTGTGGTCTACTTTAGATATGACCCACAAGGCTCAACTTGTGGGAACGTAGTGACATACACCTCCCATTGTTTAAATTCATTGGACTCGGAAACTTTCGCGCGAAGACAACTTCCCCCAGCATTCTACGTTGTCACCCCCGATAAAACATCGCACTTCGAAAAAATGAACCCACCAGCTCAGCGTTGTTAACATTGGCTCAAATAGTGAAACGGGTTATAGACAGGGGACTCGGTGGAAAATACCCGCCGCCAGACATATGCATTCACTGGATCAAATCCAGGTTTTCTTGATGTCATGTCACATGAGGAGTGTACATAATGAAACAACACCGGGGCATGCTCATCCGATATTACACTCGTATGGCATTACTTGCTTTTACCCAACAAAACGTCGCCCACAGCATGCATTGTGTGCTAAACAGTATAAAACATGAAGGCAATGCTGTTACTGTTCTGGATTGTGTTCGTGTAATTTCTTCAGGTGCCATTGTATACAGCATAAAAGCGGATTAAGAGTGAGTGAGTTTGGTTTTATGCCGCACTCAGCAATATTTCAGCTATATGGCGGCGGTATGTAAATAATCGAGTCTGGACCAGACAATCCAGTTATTAACAGCATGAGCATCGATCTGCGTAATTGGGATACGATGAGTTTTAACAAAATCGTAGTTACTAAGTCACGCCACGTCAGACCAACTGCAGTGACATGACAGTGATATTAAAGCTTCGGGTGTTCTTTCACATCTTTTGTCAACTTTAGTATTTGTAACTGTTTTCGCATCTTTGCCTTCATAAGTAGAAATTATTTGTCAAATTTACAAGAATATTACATTTATTGTCACTGTCCGCCCTGAATAAGTGTCAAATACTTTTCGTTTGAAAAATATACATGTATCAAATAATGTGTATATTCGTGTCTCAAAAGTATTCTATGAGACAGAAAAGTGTAAAGGTCAGAGACCTTGTACCGATATGATCAAAAGGGTTTACCATGATGAGTTAGAACTGGAAGTGTATAGATATGTAAATATGAGTGAGTGAGTCAGTGTGGTTTTACGCCGCTCTTAGCAATATTACAGCAATATCACGGCGGGGGACATCAGAAATGGGCTTAACACATTGTACGCATGTGGCTTTAACCACTAGGCTACCCCATCACCCCTATGTAAAGATGATGTATAAATATCAAGTATAGAGTAACTGCCCCAAACTGTCGCCAGTGTACGTCCAGTGTACGTCCGCAGTGGGGTGCTTGCCGCAGAAAAACCTGTTGGTTTTTTACATGATTGTGATTCCGTCGGAATCATACGCTGAGATTTCTTATGAACATGAAAAGGTTGGTTTTTTTAACAACAATTTTCACTGTTCATTGTGAGACATATATGTGGCAAGTTCGCAATGTAAAATACAAATGAGAGAATGTTTAAATGCTGTACCTAATGAACTCTGTTGAAGTATAAACTCGCCCTTTTGTTTTCCTTATGCTGCAGATGTTTTTATTATATAAATATATATATACATTTACATCGGCGTATTGTAAATAATCGAATCTGGACAACACAATGGAATGTTTGTTTATTACAAGCTACGATGACACGCACTTTTAAGCTACAGTCCGTTTGAGACAAAATGATACCGATGAATTGCAAACTAACACAAAAACAAATAGACATAAAAGAATCAAACCAACGCGGACTGCAATAAAAACAACACACCAACTCTAGAAAAATATTTGCATAACTTTTGTCACAAAAATAAAAACGTTATTTAAGAAATTGTCATCATTTATTTGTGCGTTTTCCCAGTTTGTTACAAGGGTGCTGTGGCAACTAAAGGAACAGCGCGAAAAGCGAGACGCACGTGCATTAGTGACGTCAGAGACATGGAATTACTGCTGATTGACAAAGTGAGAGAAAATGAAAGTCTATAATTTACAAAGTCTATGATTTCTTCAAGGATGAAAATGAAAGGGGGTGACCCAAGTATGCAATAACTAATTACATACAGCGCACTGCCTGTGCAGCTGGGTTACGTGTCATCTCGCCAGCTCAAAAAATTTTGGAACCCGTTAACGCACGTGCATCTCGCTTTTCGCGCTGTTCCTTTAGTTGCCAATGCACCCTTGTAACAAACTGGGAAAACGCACAAATAAATGATGACAGTTTCTTAAACAACTTTTTTATTTTTGTGACACAAATTATGCGATTTTTTTCTAAAGTTGGTCTGTTGTTTTTATTGCAGTCCGCGTTCGTTTGATTCTTTTATGTCTATTTGTTTTTGTGTTAGATTGCAATTCATCGGTATCATTTTGTCTCAAACGGACTGTAGTCACAGAGCCTTGACCACCCGCATTTAGGGGAAAAAATATTTTCAAAATACTGACATCTAGTTCACTGGTATATTGAAGATTGTAATAGTTTGCAATCTCATCACTAATTGGAACCATTTTATTCACACGTATGTTAGACTGCCGTGCTTTTACAAGGAGGAAAAAACAAAATTCTATCTTTTTACTTATGATACCGCCCCTTTGACTAAACTAAAGGGGTGTTCTCAAGAATGAATTGACGTGTGACTTCACATAATGGTTTCTCTTACCTCGCGGGTGTGTCACGTATGTGCATCGTGACATCTGAGTCACAATGGCCTTCTCTGTCTGCCTAGCGGCGAAACCAAACGCAGATCTCGATAACTGTCTGATTGCAAACATGATTTTGAAGCTGTGATTGACAGACGAATTTTCCTGGTTGTGTGCGATTCAAAACCGGAACTGACGTCACGGATTTTCCCCACACAGCCTTGAACCATAGTTGCTATGTTATAGTCTGTTCTAATTTAATGCGCACATATCCACGATATATCAAGCTAGTAGTTGGGTTGGTTGTTTAACGCCGCTCTCAGCAATATTAAATAGTCGAGTCTTGACCAGACAATCCAGTGATTAGTATCATGAGCATCGATCTACGCAATTGGGATACGATGACATGTGTCAACCAAGTCAGTGAGCCTCACCACCCGATCCCGTTAGTCGCCTCTTACAACAAGCATGATGAAGCAAGTAGTAGTAGTAGTTGTAGTAGTAGTAGCTTTTGTATTTGTGAGGAGGGATGTTTGCAAAGAGAGGAACAGCCAGGTGCACGTGCTTCGCTTGCACAAGTGCCCACAAATTTATTGATCAATGCATTTACCTTTGCTGTACCTTTCTCGCACACCTGGCTGTTACTCTCTTTGCATTCCTCCCTCGTTACAGATTGTGAACTGTGTAAATATTTTAATGAGTTTGTTAATCAACTTTTTTTTATTTTTATGACATAAATTCTGCCCCAAACAAAAACACAAAAAACCTCACAGAGTTGGACTGATGTTTTGATTACGGTCAGCGTTTCAATGAGTATTTCATGTTTAGTAGTTTTCGAGTTAGATTGCAATTCATTGGTCCGCGTTTGAGCCAAACGGACTGTATTTGCTAAGGTTGGAACACACGCAGTATACTGTTGTACATATTGTATATTAATTAGAAAAAACAACACCCATGTTTAATAATAAGGTAATGTTATGTATGTCAAAAGGTAAGTGACAAGGAATTTCTGAACCTATTTCTTGCTTTATTTACATCACACCGTGTACCACGGGAAGAGTAAATGCCAAATATACACGGTGTTACTAGATTCATAATGTTACTCTACCAACATCTGGGGCAGTGGGGTAGCCTAGTGGTTAAAGCGTTTGCTCGTCGATCACGCCACAGACCCGCGTTCGATTCCCACATGGGTACAATGTGTGAAGCCCATCTCTGGTGTCCCCTTCGATGATATTGCTGGAATATCCCTAAAGACCGCGTGAAACTAAACTCTCACTTGATATCAACAGTCAAAGAAATTCCACTATAACTTAAATCCCCTAACCCATCCACTCCCAGTCAAATCTTACCCTTAATCTCCATCAGTCCAACTAGAATTCAATGGCTTTTCCTATCTATTCGTAGTGATTTATGTAAAACGTGAACCGTTAGGTAAGTTTTTGCTCAGTTTACGTATCTAGATATTATTTTGAAATAAAGATTTTTTTGTGCCTCATTGTGGTACTGTCATCACTTTGTATCCATATTGATCTCCCCCAAAGGAGTGTTCCAAGACCGACAGAAATTGCCCAGGCATGGTGTGGCAAGAGAGTATAAGTTAGCTAGTTAAGTTAGTTATTTATACGATGTTTCAGAGCTAATTCTTGCTCCTTCACCTGATGAAGCAGCAAGAATTAGCTCTGAAACGTTGGGTCATTTGTTTGTTCTATAACACAACATTCCAGCTATATGGCGTCAGTCTGTAAATAGTGGAGCCTTTTCGGTTTTAGAATCATTCAGCTGGACCAAGGAAAAGGCAAGAGTTACAGAACAGGCAAATACCCCACAAAACATTTGTATCTTTGGGTTTCTCATCTCCAGCCCAAACCAACAAGAGAGGTAGGGCGAAAATAATTTATTCATTTTTTTTTAATGTTAAAAAAATATTTGAAATTTTTTCCCCCAAAATTGTGTAACTTATTTTATGTAATAAACATACTGTGTGGAAAATCAGAGGTATATAACAAAATTATAATAGCTCTAAATATAATTTAAAACCGAACAAGTAGTTTCATCTTTCGTCCTAAAGGACACTAATATGCTGTAATGTGACAGGAGTAAATGTGGCAACACTGTGCTCAGTCCTCATCCTCATGGATCAAGGGTGAATTCTCTCTCTTTGTTCAGCAGATTACTTTGGTCAAAACAATAATGAAACAACAGCATGAATCTGAATATTTATTTGTTAGACATTGTGCAAGTCAAGGTTCAGAAAACAAAACAACTAAACAGTTGACAATGTCGGCTGTTCACAGCTTATAGTATACAGTAATCAGGTATGTCTGACAATGTCGGCTGTTCACAGCTTATAGTATACAGTAATCAGGTATGTCTGACAATGTCGGCTGTTCACAGCTTATAGTATACAGTAATCAGGTATGTCTGACAATGTCGGCTGTTCACAGCTTATAGTATACAGTAAACATGTATGTCTGACAATAAGGAGATTGTTGGCAAGTGTACTTGTATATCTCTGTTTATTATCAAGTAAAGGTCAATGGGAGTTGAACAAATGAAAACAAATACACTCTACATTGATTGTCTGGTTTGTTCGGCTCAATTCAACAAACCATGCTCTGGTGATAAAAGAACATCCTCGTGAGTCAAGGGTAATTATTCCTCTTTTGTTGGTCGAAAACATTTATACAAAATAAAAACTTGGTACATTGTCATATACAGTAAATGCTTCTCAAAAGGGAAATCAAACAAATTGTATAAATGTTGCAAGTTCATGTTCTACTAAAAAGATAGAGCCACTGGCTCTGTAGCTCACTCAAATTATGGAGAAATATTTCCATTTTATGAAATCAGAGACACATAAAGACTGGATCGATCATTCATACAGTTTCAGGTTCATAGTCCTCCAAAGTAGTGTAAGAAAGGTAGAAAATGATGAAGTACTAACATTTCAAGCCCTATTATAGTCAAACCTTGTTGTGTCAAACTTGTGATGAATCCAATTCTAGGTTGTATTGAGCTCACCTTCTGTCCCAGACACAGAATTATATGTATAACAATAATCAGTCTGTCAAATTGGATGTTTTGAATCCTTTTTTTCTTGTCTTTTTTTTTTGCCAACTCATTTGGGTGTTCCTAGTTTCCAAATTAGGTCAATATTCCCCTGATGACTCAAATAGTTCAAAACAAAAATTAACATCTACAGACCCACTCTAGCCAAACTTACTCATGTCACATTGATTGACTTCGGACCTGTTCCATAACATCAAAGGCAGGATAATTTCCAACAATATATCAATAATCAAGCCTAATCTGTCGGTACCTCACATCGAGGGTGCAAGCTGGTAACTGTGTACATATGGGCAGGAACTTCCTGAAGAGTCCTCACATAACTACTGTAGACATGCAAAGTGACAGATTACTAAAATGGATTAAGATTCTAAGTGAATCTATTGTCAGAACTATGACAGATTGTGAGAAATGTATATGATTGGTAATAAGGCTGAGCTTCAAGTGATGACTATCACCTGTTACAGGGCTGTCAACACTGAAATCTAGTGTAATGAAACCAAAGATTACCAGATATGTAACATTCTATCTCACATAAGGTCTGGATGAAGCCTGACCACCTCACATGTTCCCACAAGTTCAACAAAACAAGGATCGTCTGTATCTGTTATGACATATGACACTGCTACATGTCAGATTTTAGGATGAAAAATGTGCAGAAATGGCTGAGCAATAATTATAAACCTCCAGTGACATCACTCTATTGTCTCGCCAGGTTCTCCTTTTACAGAGTAAACCTTTGCAGATAGTTTTGCGAGCATTCTCCAAGATATCCCGTTGATTTTCTACAGAACTGACCGCAACCCGGGGATTAGCCCTTGACATTGAACTATTACTTGCTGTGAAGATTGATCAAACTGTGTCTTGTTATCACTGAATTTGATCGTAAAATATCACATTATTGAAAACTTCCAATATGTAGTGCCGCTGCCTGGTTTCGAACCCGCTACCCTATGCTTACCAGCTTGGTGTTTTTATCCCCTAGGCAACGAAGGATCTCTGCGAAGAAAGAGATTGTTTGTCATTATGAACCATGTGTTCCTCACAAGATGGGTAGTGCGGGCAGCGCATGTGCAGGACACAGGTAGCGCGTGCATGTGCAAGGCAAGGTGTCGGCTGCCAGTCACATCCCAGTTGATTTCAATAGTAAATACCAAATATCAAAATTATATCTAAAATATATCTTCGGTCGGTTCATAAGTTGGATCAAAACCTCGGAGTCGGCCCTCCCCAATTTCCCTCTGCTGCGGGCTTACTTTTTCAAACAAAACCTCGGAGTTGGTTTTGATCCTTTACGTAAGAACCTGATTGGAATCCGGTACAGGAAGCTACAACTGGGATCAGTTGTACAAAATTTCATCTGCTAGCCTCGTAGTTTCAAGAGATATCCGACATGTAAATGTTGACAGTGAACAGACAACACAAAATAACCTCACTTGACAGTCAGGCGAGCTAAAAAGACAAAAACAGGAATTCATGTTTTACAGTTTGAAATCAACACAGTGTCCACAGACTAGCCATATGAGACAGACATTCGTTGACGATATGTCCCCACACCACATAGTCGTGTACTTTACAACAATGCAGGTACAAACCTCACACGCAGGTCTGTCCTTAAACAAGAAATGATAACACACAAAATATTTAAAGCACCAGCATTTCAAATATCAAATTCAACATAATTTATATCAAACCAACATGATACTGATCTCCAACCACTATTTCCTGTTCAGCATCCCACTGAGTCAGACGGTAAATAGTGTCACTCATTTGAAAGGACGATGAACGTTCATTTTCAAATATTGTACTGTTTACAGGTAACAATTTGTTATTCTTCTTCGACTACTTTCTTACTTCTAATCAATTGATGAAAGGTCAAGAAGTAGCACTCACATGTCGTTACAAAGAATAAGAAATTTGTTACCATCAAAAAGTGTCATATCGTCTACTTTTAAATGACTATCAAACACTGAAATACACATATAAACAAACAGAAATATCAAATATCAAACACACAAAACAATTGTAAACATATGAAATGAAACAAAAACATCCACAGGTTCAGACAGAATGTCAAAAGTAGTACATAATTTTACACTAATAATATCTGTCAGCTAA